TATGGTACGTGTCCATGTCGTATACAACTCCGTATGTAGAGTGGCGTGCGCGTCGCTCATAATGCGCGATGTTGCGCAGAACACAGATGTGCCGGTGTAGTGTGAATTTAGGACTACGAAATACTGACTCACTGGTAGTATTGGGCATGCCTACGTGTGCATTGTGAACGTTCAACCAATAAAACGGTAACTAAACGGCACCGGATTTCAAAGGAATCAACATTTCATGTGGTGCTGGAAAAGTGTTTAAGAGACAGCCGGTCTTTATCAACCGTTTAGAACCGGCCACGTGACGGGCTCTAGACCAATAGGAATGGGTACACTGTCTTGGGTATTTATGAATGCGATATAATTATGGGGCAAAATCTGCAAATGGCTGTCAACTAAACGATGAACACGATACGTTTCTGAACCGGAGAACATCACACATCAAAGTCTTTGGACAAGGATACGGAATATGCTACCGGAATGCTGTCAATGTCGGAGATTTTTGAAAAGCCCGTCCCAACACCGAACACCTCGTGTTGCGTTACAGTTTGATGCATTTCAAATCGATCTCCCTTGTTAGAGGAAAGAGCAGTATCTGGTTGATGAAAATGAGCGCAAAAGGAATATTCCCCCCCCCTTTTATCGCAGGGGCGGATTTGGGGACTGCACAGGTAATATCTTATAGTCTTTGCTGCTACGTGACTCGAGCCGATAAAACGATTCTTTCGGAAGTCGCTGAAAGCCGGTTTCACCTTTCAGGACCTGAAAACATTTCAGGATTAGCCTACAAGGAACTTCTATTTCAACAGGTTGTTCTCGTGTGTAATTTACAAAAGTGCTGTAGCTTCATGATGACGAACGGAGCAAGCTTTTCGAAACGTCGAGTTAACCGGATTTTCTCGGAATAGCACAAACTCAAGAAAGATGTACACGTACATGGTGCTTCCGCGAAATTCTTTACTCGTGGATTCACAACCATGCAAACATTCATCTCTTGAAATCAGGTACGGTCTGTCATGAGCCAATATGGCCCATAAGGCCGGTGTCTGTCGCCAGTCTCCTTGACACGAAGCGACTGTGAATATTTCTATTCCCCCTGGATGGTATGCAGGTTACTCCCCAACTATAATGCCGGTACCCAGTTATACTCCTGGGTGGAGAGAGGCAAGTGGTGGGGACAGAGGGGTTGAAGTGGCTTGCCCAAGAACATGACCATGTAGCTGGATTCGAATCCCTGACCCTCTGCTCACGAGTCACGAACCCTATAACCACTAGGCCACACTCAACCACCTCCACCTCTTATACTTCTCTTTATATCTTTTTGCACCTGTACTCAGTGTACTACATTGTGTTAAGCCTACATTGTATATACTCCCCGATTAATTCAATAAAACCATGCAATGCAGGACCACTTCTGGGCAATAAAATGAAGTAACGGTTTTGAAGATGGACAGAGCATATTGTCCGAAACGTTCAGTTTAAACCGATTCTCATCAAAACTGAACAAAATCAAAAGAGAGATTTCCCGTCACAAAGTGGAGTCGCAAACTGAGTAAAATTCCTGATTTCATCATGCTGATCTTATATAAATGTGTTTTTATCCTTTGTAATGCTCACATTGCAGACTGTTGCGTCAAATTATCGTCACTACTTGCTATTTACACAACCTGACATGTCCCGAAGCATTCGGTTGCATTCCAATCGTGTGTCATTTTTTGTAGAGAAAAATCGCCGTCACCCGTAAGGGTCAAAACATATTCCTGTCTCTTTTTCAAGAGCTGCACACGGAACGATTTCAATTCAAAATGCATCTGTGAACAGCAGCGCTTTGTTTTCACTGTACCCCGACTTTGATATTGCTGTAAGCCTAATTGCAGAAGGATGTTTTTGTTATCGTTTCGTGACCAATTGCATAAATTCCATCTACAAAGACATCACTGTTATTGTGCGTGCTGACGCCGTCTTTTTCGGATCTTTCATATGCAGTGCAAAGCACTCGGTTTTTTTGTTTTCGCTCAAAAGGCACTCTACAGGGCGAGTCAGAAAAAGCTAAACCCAAATGTCGGGACTTCAGTTTTAGTGAAGTTCTGCATGTACCGTAGCGCTTCCAAAATCTAGGATATAAAGGCCAAAATCATAAGCTTTCATTTAGCATAAGAATCATTCATATCACTTATGTACTTGTGAAGTTTACGGAATTTTAAACACAACAACCGTTTTAAAGTTCTGTCCACGGATCACAAAAAAAGGTGTGCGTTCTTTCAGCAAAAAGAAACAATTCACACACATCCCTATGTGATTTGTTTTTGTTTGCAAACCTTACATATTGTTGATCCGTGGACAGAACTATAAAACGGTGGTTGTGTATAAAATTCCGTAACTTCAAAAGTACAAAAGTGATTTGATTGATTCTTGTACTAAAAGAAAGCTTATGTATTTGGGCTTTAATATCCTAGATTTTGGAAGTGCTAGGCTACATGCAGAGCATCACTAAAACAATGGTCCCAACATTTGTTTGTTTCGTTTTTTTTATTCACTCTGTACCTAACCAAAAAGTGTATTTTAAAACGCGTTTCTTTACCTTAAAATTTTCCATATGTATTCACAATTACAAAACGGCAAACCTACTAGGTTTATTTCTAGAATATACAGAATTTCTTTTGTTTTTGCAACACATTTCCAACTGTAGGTTGTACACAATTAATTGCAAATAAAATAGTATAGGGAAATTGATATTACGCTTAACGCTTTTTCATTGATATTTTCTTGTATCACTGCTGCTCATAAGGGCAATAAAACATCTCTTAGACCATCTCATCTCCCTAGGGAGCAAAAGGCTGATTTTCAATGATTTCACACGTAATAACGATTTAGGCACTAACAGCTATCAATTTCACTCCTAGAGGCTGTATCCGTGACAAAACGTCTTCGGAAGAACAAACAAGATGTTTGAGTTCAACGTACAAAACGACCATGCCACCGCACTCCATTCTTGCAAAGATTGACGTAAACCTATCGCTTGATACATTTCTCAATGTAACGGCAAAATCAACAGGCCAAGAGTTTATTATTTGATCCCACAATTGCAGACCGAATAACCAAAGAGAGCCTTTCACTGAATTCCTAACCCAGTGCTGGACTACCCCCCCCCCCCCGCCTTGGGTTTCACAAAACAAACACAAAAACCCGTACTGGTGCCTTTTCAGAGACTAACAGTAAAAATCAATCACACACTAGCTTTCAAATCAACAACTGCTTCACCAGTGCAGAATAGAAAGGACAGTGCAGAGCAGTAACCTGTGATGTTATTCCGCCCAGCACAGTGACATTTTAAAGAAAACAGGCATTTTGAGGTAAAATATAATTCAGATCACGGAAAGTGTGCCGGCGTCAAAGCTCGAGGGATCAGACCAAACGACTATCGTCTGTTTATTGCACCCTCAACGAAGCACATTCGAAGGAGTGGACCTGCACAGTTTAATAACAAGGGAACCCTTTCAACAACAACTGCTTCACATTTTTATCGCTTAAAATTGCCACTGTGACATTTAATTTCAAATACAATTACAAATCACAAAATATTTCCTCACAATATTGTAGGTTTTTTTTTTTACTATAGGCTGCATTCTGTGTACATTTGTCTTGCATCTGTTTTTATACATTGTGCCATGCTTGAAATACAACTTATGTATCATTCCTTTACTAGGAGAGCTTGTACTCGTATCCTATTGAATTAAACTAATTTCAGAAATTCCGACTAATACAGTGGCACGATGTTACAATATCCTCACACGTGTAGGAGTCGTGTGAGGATAAGTGTCAAGTGTGAAGACAGTGTTGTGTTGCGTGTAAATCTGTTGATCTTACCCGCTTTTTGAGAACAAAATCTAACACTAAAGAGCCACGACACTGTTACAGTACCGTTCCAGTGCGTCGTGTAAAAACAATGCTGTTTTAGTATTAGCCTAAAGAATGTTGTTTAGAATGTCTTTTGTATTAATCATGTAACATGCATCGAGAATAGGAAAACACACAGATTAACGATGTTTTCGTATAAGCTGATAACGTTAATGGAGGGTACATAAAGTTGTTTTAGAGCCAACATTGTTGGGGTTTCGATGTAATCTATCTACCTAGAATAAATATGAAAACAACGCTGATTATGGATGGTTTTGGTTCCTTGTAGGCCTAAGCCTCTGATGCGTGAGTGTCAAGAAACTGTAATGTATGTGTAATAAAGTGTTGTTTTCGTGTTGAGGCAGTGCTATTTCAGTGTAAAAGGAGCATTGTTTCAGGATTGAAGACATTGCTGTTTGTAAAGATGTTCCCGTTTTTCCCACGGCGGTGTGAAGCACGCCGTTGGCTTGAGCTGCTTATGTTGGTTGGTGGATGGGTTGGTTGGTTGGTTGGTTGGTTGTTGGTGGACACTTCACTCGGCCATATATTGTATTCATACAGTGTTTTGCAAACACTTTTGCGTCTAATTTGCATATTTGTTGCATATTTGATCACGCCCCATTCCTTTTCGTTTTCTAAACTCTCGAGGTACCGGTACGGCCCGCGTGCACGGACGGTGCCGTATAGCCGTCTTCACACATTACCCGGCCTCGCTGCTACCCGGCCGCCGTGGGTTTTACCACTTGGTACTTATTACTGTTAAAACAGGTGCTGCTTTAGTGAAGAAAGGGTGCTGTTTGAGTATATATTTTCAAACAGGGATGCTGCAGTGCTTTTGCCGGTCACAGAGGGTCGGATTATTGTCCCCTTTTCACTGATTTTCATTGATTGACTTAACTGTCCCTTGTGAGCAAGGCAGTTCTATCTAATGGCTGTATTATACCGTAACGCCAATAAAATTGGCTAAATCCCGCCCATTGCATGCTTACGAATGTTCCAGTAAATAGCCAAACTGAACTGTTTGCATAGAGTTTTCTGCGCCTTGGATCCAGCTTCGCTAGCTTGCCTGTACTTGTTTTAATTTAACGATAGTGTTGTGATTCTTATAACCTTACCTGAAAGTAGGGCAGTATGTGGCAGGCCATTGCGCCGAAGAACCAAGTCTCGGTGGTGTCCACGATGACGTTGGGCGGCAGGCACAGCAGCACGACCAGCACGTCGGCCACCGCCATGTTCACAATGTAGTAGTTTGTCACGGTGCGCATGTGCTCGTTCTTGAGCACGGCGAAGCAGACCAGGAGATTGCCCACTAGCCCCGTGACAAAGACGATGGCGTAGACGGAGATCAGGAACCACTCGTGAGCGTTGGGCATGACCACGCGCTGCATGAGGTCGTGCAGGTAGTCCACGTACTCCTCGTCCGTGTCAAAAAGGCCCGTTGACTCGGTCGGGGAGAAGGGCGATTCCAGAGGGGGGAAGTTAGGGTTGGAGTTGTTGGGACCGGGGTCAGGAGGTTCGGAACCCATATCGGTGAGTTTGGTGTAAACAATCTCAAACCCTCTGTGCACACAAGTCCATCACGAAGACCACCTAAGTCTGTGAATCTTGTGGGTGTCTTTGAACCTCACTGTGATGTTAACGTCGGCGGAAACCTCGTTGAGTGTAGTGCTCATAGGAACCTCACTGTTACTTGAAACATCAGTGGAGCCACTGTCATGAAACCCTCAATAGAATCGCAATCAGACGCGAACCTCAACACGATGTAGAATTAAATGCATCACCAATGTGAAGTAACCCTCGATCGAACCTCATTGCGATAAAGGCATTTGCCTTAGTTTGTCTTTCTTCAGCCCACAATATCAGAGTTGTTTTCTCGTTAGGGATTCAGCTATACACTTTCATTTCCCGATGCAGTCACATATTGGATTTTTCAGACAAAAAAAAAGGCCCGCGATTTCTTTCTTTGCGTCCTTGAATTTAGTTTTTCCTACAGCAAACCTACAGAAATAGAACGGGCCAGCAGTTTGGGAGGTTTATTTTGTGAGGCCGCGACGACTTTCCTCATAGGGCTCCAAAAACTGTCAAGCCACTGAGCCAGTCACTCGCCTCGCGCCTTTTGAAACGAAACGTCGTTGATACATTTATCCCCCGTGTACGTCAGCCGGTCGCGGAGCAAAAACATCAAGTGTCCACAGCTAGCTTTACAGACCCTCTCTCGGTCAAGAAAAATATTTTGAAATGACGAGCGAATTTAACAGCGGCTTACCCGCGAATGACAATCTGCAGTCTTGGAAGATTTACATTCAGGCTGGCACCGCTACTGTCTCCCATTGAACACAGCCAAGGAACTCAGAATCACGTCAAAGTGCTCACCTGGAGTATAAACGAGCGCCAGATTTGCATTCACGAAGCCACCGTCGCCGAGCCACACGGCAATAGCAGGCGGTGAATAAACAACCTGTCCCCCGCGCTACGATCGCGGAATGCCGCTGTTGCCTGATGTTTCTCGTAGTTGCGACAGACGTCAAGCACACACGAGGGAAAAGAATACTTGGAACAGATCAGCGCGAGTCAGCGTGCTCTAGTCTCCTCAACCCCATCACTTACCGGGGTTTATATACGCAGCCGATTTCGTTCACGTCGTTCGTATCACTGGCGCGAACAGGTTGGATGTCACAGTCGCGCGGTGACGTGATCAGAGCGCGGGAAAACGATGTGCGGGCTGCACGCGGAGAATTTGCACTGGCGCCCTCTTTCTTCCTTTCAACGACAGTTTCAGCTTTGCGCTGAAGTGCTGCTCTTGTTCCAGCAGTTGATATATTTCTCATTTGGTGTTCAGTATACGTTATTCAGTGAGGAAATAAATGTACAATGTGCTTTGCACACCTGTCCCCCATGATGTTTTTCGTCTTATCGAGGTTTTTATAATTGAATGAAGACGACAGTCAATTATTCTTTGGGTGCGAAATTGTGCTGAGAAACAGTGCAATGAAATACCTTGATCAATTTCATTTAAAATCCATTTTGAACGGAATACGAAATATACGTTGTCTCGTCTTGCGCGCTGTTCTTACCCGACGTGTTTTGCGGGACTTGGTAAACTGATCACTAATTTACGTGTTCAAGCGCCGTCCTTGTGATATGAGAGATGATTATGAGAGATGCTATGCCTTGGCCTTCCGATATCTGATATCAGGGGGAAGTGTAACATCGCGGATGGAGGATAACAAGTTACCATTAATTTGGTTGGACCGGACATAGCATCATTCTGAGAACCTCTTTCTGTTAGACGTTCTGTTGCTTCTCTTAGCCTGTTCTATAGATACTATCATGGTATGTGCTCAGAAGGTCTCTCGCTTGTTGTCCCTTCTGTTCGCACCTTCACTCGCAGCACACGTTTTACAGTCTCCTCTTATCCTTCACTGCATCTGTTCCAAAGGCCAGTACTGTGTGATATTCTTCTCGCTTTTTTCCTCGTACTGCTGCACTTTGAAACTCCTTACCTGAAACCTGTTTTCCACCAACTTATAATCTATCCCCTTTCAACATAAATGTGACGAGATATCTGCTCTCTCTCTGTGTAACTTTTTTGCCCTAAAATTTCCTTAGTAGCCAGCACATTGAATGGCCTTATGGCCTTGTGATGGGCTATAACAATAATAATAACAATAATTTGTACATTTATTTTGCGCAAATTCCATATGAATAGTAGTATCAAAATAAATGCGCATCACAATTATTATCCCTGTTCATCAGGAATGAGACATGTTTTTTTTTTCTGCAGCAGCTCGAGATCAGCGCAATTTGGTCTCTACCTTCCCAGTTACCCATTATACTCCAAGGTGGATAGAGGCAATCGTTGCCCAAGAGCACAAGCGCTATGTTCCCCATCAGGGTTCGAACCCATGTACCACGGCACACGAGCCGAACACCATTACCATTGGACCACAGCGCCCCACATTCAGTGACACCGTGGCCAATTTTCGCTGGTCTCAGAGGGCTAGCCTAGTGTCCTCTTTGCACCTATCCCACTGACAAGCTGACTCACTGGTGTCTCAGACTGGTTGTAGGCTGAACTCAAGAGCCGGGCAGTGCGAACGTATAAAATTAGGTTTACTTCATAAATTTGGGCTCCAAAAGTGTGACCTGTTTGTTTAGTCCCTGATAAACCTGACCTGTGTAATTTGCCGTGCAAGTATCTTTAAAATTGACTCCCTTTTTGAAATTTGTGTGGCAGATACTTTACTTTACTGATTCACTCTTGGAGGTAGAAGGTATCAAATAATGTGTCCTGAATTTATAAAATCTTGTGTCAGATGTAACAGGGACACAAACAAAAATGGACCCCAAATTAATGGAATGACCCATTACCACGTGACACCAACGAAAAGGACAAATATGGCTTAGTGTGAAAACAGTTGGGTAAGTCCAAGAATTCGCGCATGTCCAATGAGTAACGAAAGTTTAATCCTCTTTTAGATATTCATTGAGTCCAGTGTGTTTATTCTACTGTTAAGCATTTGCAAGGAGACTACTCACAAGACTATGTTTTAGTTTTTGCGATGAAAATGATAATTACGCAAAACATATGTATGTAGCGTAAAAGACAACATTTACTTGGACTTACCGTGTGCATAACAAAAAGAATTTTCATGAATAATCATTCTGAGTCAAATGGATAGAATTGTGTGCGTTCGGACTCGGGCTGGTCTGAGGCCAAATTTAGTGGGCTTGCTTCATCTTGTTTTGGACCATCGTATACCAGGTATTTCGTCGAGTCCTTCACAAGTCCTTGCGGGTCCCTCCAAGTCAATCTTTAGTCTTCTACTCTCAATTCAACTCACAAGCTATTCAAATGAGCTTTAAGGGTATTGTCCATCATTTGTAAAATGTGCAATTTGTTCGTTTGAGCAACAAAAGTGCTCAAAATTTAAAGAAGGGTGCTGAACAACTAACCTGATGAAGTTTCAGCTCAGCTGCAGCTGTATATTTCGAGAAAAACAACATTCTAGGATCTCGATTTCAAATCAAAAGTTGCTGAATCATGTTTTGAATTGGGCCTGAATTCAGCATCCGAGACACGTTCTCACTAGCTGATTGCAGCTACGCGATGTCGCGCACCGATCCGACGAATTATAGCAACCGCGCACACGTGTGCGTCGTGTCAACGCTTGCGCGCACTTCGCCGAATAAAAAAAACGAACTACTGACGGAAACTTCCAACGGTGCTTCTTAAGACGCACCATTGGAAAGGCCTTCTTTCGTTGATTTCTTCACAATGACAGCCTGCCAGAAAGAATAATTTCACAGGGAGTTTAGTCCCCTTACTATCTTTTAACCAAGTATGTTTTTCAACAATAATTATGCCAGTTACTCTTTGGATAGCTGCAAATGATGGACTCTGGCTTTAAGGCATCCCGTTGTTGTTGTTTATCCACTGCTACTTGTGACTGGATTTGTGCCTGGACTTGTGGTTTACTTGTGACTGGCCCTGTGATGCTGAGTAGACCTGATTGACTCGACTACATCGCTACCTATTACTCAACAGTTTCCCAAAGCTAGTGACGAAACATTCATAATGTTGTCGAAATCACAGCCTTCCAAGCCCCGGCAAGCTCTGCGGCCAAGATGTCTGCATGAGTATCAGCAATATACAGCGCGTCCCAAAATACCCGCAACTTGGCGAGGCTCTAGCGTCGGCGCGTCAACACCTACGGCTGTTATTTTTTATACCATTTTAATGTTTGGAATCTAAACTTAATCCCTAGTTAGTATTGGATTGATATTAGAAAGAGTTAAAATTATTTGTGTTTGATATAAAGGTAGTCGAAAACAAACTCAACTGATTTCAAGGAAAATTGATAATGCGGTACATCATATGCAAACTCGAGTCAACAAGCTGTTGAAATAACAAAAATGAACAGTTTATTTATATTAAACACACATTTAACTTGACACGTGGATTAAAAAGAAAAGAAAACACAGGAAATAGAAGGCAACGAGATGTCACATCATGTACATGATGAAGCATTTCCACATTTAGAAAGCATTGCGCATGATTTATTTTCCTTGAAATTGGTTGGGTTTGTTTTTGACATGCCTTTATTTGAACACAAAATAATAGTTTCAAAACCCTTTTGAAAATTAAACCAATACTTATCAGAGATAAAGTGAAATTTCTTCAAGCTTTGAAATGACATATAAATAATGGCGATACGTGTTTCCGCAGCGATGACAGTGCCTCGCAAAAAAATGTTGCGGGTATTTTGGGACGCGCTGTACATTATTATGAATGATGCATAATTAAAAAAAAGCAACCTTGATATCCACAATAAGTTGAGTAATCTGATAGAAATCATACATTACATACACAGAACATATACGATTGGAAAACATTTTTTTTTATCAGAACTCCCACTCCATTTTGTTCCGTCATGACACCTTTATAGTGTTCTTCGCAGCAATTACAAAAAGCACCCAACCTTAAGAAAAAGAAGTCGTTCACCGCAGCACATCATTTCTGCAT